TGTCCGTGTCACCCCCAGCTGTACCGTTTTCTAATGAAAGTAGTTACGCCAAATGCTTGCATGGCAAGGGCGAGCCAAGGGTAATGCTGAGTGAGGGGAAAAAGTGCTTGAGCAGCAGAGGGTGCTTTTCCACCCCGGAGGAGGTGCAGAGGTCCCGTGGCAGCAACTGTCAGGGTAGGGGTAGTTTCAGAATGTCTCACTGTTGGAAGCTCAGCCCCTAGTCACAGCTGAGGTACGGTGTGCGTTTGAAGGGGTGACCGTATGAATTTTGAAGCAGGGATGTTGATGAAGTATAAATATTACAGATGCTTTCCAGCTGCCAAATTCTGAAGATACTTCATCATTACTCTTAATTATCACTTACTTAGTGTTCAGCTTGAGAGACTGTGTGCAGTAGAGTGCCTTTTCATCCTCATGCACTGTTTTTGCTTAGTTATACTGACTTGAGGGAACATTTCCGAAAGTGGCATTGCAGAATAAATATAAGGTGGAATGAGTTCTAATCTCCAGAGCATTGATGTATTTGGAAATCTTTTTCTATGTCTTTTTTGGCAAGACATGCTTTTATATACATTTGTGTGTGCCTATTAAAAAAAACTACTATCAATATATATGTAATGATAACTATTGTTTTCCAGTGGGGTAGCTGAACGAGGCAGTAAATCAGAGTACAGTCCAGAAAAATACGGAGTTGAAAGATACCATCTCTTAAGGACAATAGTATTGCATGTTAGGAATGTTTAGTTTCTTTATATCCTGTATGTTAGGATTTGGATTGTAGGAAGTGATTGACAGCAGCATTAGTCAACTCTGCTTACAAAAATCACAGCGTGATGCCATGGCGAATTACAATGATTACTTTCCACTCTTGTGAACAGTACTATTCTGGGTTTGTTTTTCTTTTTTTCACAGGTTATTAAAAACAACCTGAATCCTGTTTGGAGGCCCTTTAAAATCTCTCTCAATTCTCTGTGTTACAGTGACATGGATAAGTCCATCAAGGTAGTGTATATGAAATGTTTGTATGAATCAATGCATTAAAAGAATAGGATATGTAATAAATGGAGGATGCATTATTCTAGTTACTGCCTCTTTGAAAGTCATAGAGGTACATGCACGTTTTGGAAAAAAAAAATCTCACGTCTGTGATGCATTACCTGGTAAAAGTTGGTCTTGGAAAGTCTGGGAAACCAGTTGAACATAAGTAGCACTGTAATGTCCAACTCAGATACTACAGTTTTAGTGTTGCATTAGACAGTATCGGCGATGTTAAGGTGCTGTACAGTGAGAGACGGGTGGTAAAGGCTAGAATACACTTTGCGTTACGGATGTTTGTTACTGTAGCACCAGGGAACACCAATGAAATTCTTAATATACTACCTGATACAATTAATTGCACTTCATATACTAGCTGAGGTAACAGATGTGGACCAGATGTATCTTTTGGATACCAGATGTAGCAACTTTTCACCTCAGATAAAGCTTTCTGTTAAAAGGTCAACCAAACCTGGGAAGTGATAGTTTTACCAGGACTGGTCTTTAACTCTTTGAATCTTCAATTCTTATCTTGAATAAATTGTATTTTACTTCTGAATAGTTTTCTTCAGGAATTGCTTTTAGGGAAGCTAAACGACCCATCAAAATGCCATTTATAAGCTATTACGAACAGGTTGGGAACCTGATGTTTTAGCATTTGAAAAGGCAGAAACCAAAATTAAACGAACCACTACACTGTTGTTCTTTCTCTGGGAAGGAAAAATGAGAGCATGACCTGCATGTGACAGGTATTAGTCATTTGACTTGAGGCAGTCCTGGAAAATGTTTAACAGCCACAGGGATCTGGGTGTTACAAGCACCTGTATAGATTTAAATACATAATTATAGAGCAGACTAATGAACAACTTTACAAGCCCAGAACCTGCTTCTGTGGTTTAGTCCTTTCTGTTTCCTTTTTCCTCAAAGTAACTGACAGTTTTTACCTTTCCGTATACTGTAAATATATTTCTCTTTTTTAGTAACAGCCATACTAAAGCTGTAGACCATTGATTAACTCCATCTTAACAGGCATATTTTATTCTCAGCTGTATCATCACTTTCATGAAGTCTGTTCTTTGGAATCTTACCTCAGAAATGTAGGTGTATTTCCAGAGGAAATAGCTTTTACTTGGAGTTGTTATGGACTTGCAGACAGACAGAAAGATTATGTCTTAACTTAGAACTCCAGGAGCTATCACGGCAAACCTTAAAATGCAGACAGAATTGTATTATAATGTTGTGGAAGGATTAAACGATACTTTTAACACTTTTATATGCACACAGTTTCATACGTAATGGGCTGTTTGTCATAGTAAGTAAACCCACCAACTTTTCCATAATGAGTGTCTTTTCACCTGTTTAATGGCTTAGTTTGTGTATCCCCAGCAATGCACAAACTAAGTTGATTCTTTATCTTCTGGATTTATTGCTGTATTCCATGTGAGTGTGTGTGCAGTCGGTGCAGCCTTCCAGTGTTGAAAATGTGAGCCTTTCATCTGGAGCAGGCATGCCTAGTTCTGCTGGGGGAAACTATATATACAGTTTTATCACATGGTTCCCTAGCACTATTGCATGTCCAGGAGAGCATACATGGAACAAAAGAAATCATGTTTTCTGTCTCGCCTGGCGTAAGTATTGAAAATTGGCTTAGATGCGTCAAGCAAGACAAGCTTAATTCCTTTAAAAGGAAAAAAGTAACTGCTAACTGTGAACAGATATAACTTTTGGCTCAGGAAATGTCTTCAGTTTTAAATTTCGGGTACTGAAGCACTTGGCTGAGTGAGTGATTTACTAGATGATCTCTAGAGGTCCCTTCCAACCCCTACCACTCTGTGAATCCGCGTGAATTTACGGCATTCAAAAGAATTTTTACACAGCATCTGCCATGAACATTCGTCTGTTGGTACCGTGGCTGCTTGTATGAGACTTAAGTTGCTGTTCAGTGCATGTGCATGCATTGTATTTATTTATGAGTGCATTCAGAATGTTGTAGGAGTAGTGCAAACCGCAGCATGGAGGCGTGTTCTGCGCGGTGCAGAACTTGCAATCTGTGCATCCTGTTGTGTATTTCAGCATTACTGTTTGTCTTCAGAAAGTTAATTCCTCTCGGAAGCTCAAGTATATGTTGAAGTTGTTTGCTTTACTTTGTTATTCCCAAATGAAGTGGGCAAGTCATCAGCTGAACTGTTTCTTGAATATAACGTAGGATTTTTTTTCAGTCTGGAAAGACGGATGTGAAAGCAGCTGTTCGGTTTAAGCCAGATCTATTCAGGAAAGTTTTTCATGATGTTTACCTTTTCTTCCAAATAATGGGGGATTCCTACTTTGACTCTTGATTTATTGTTGGTATTATTTATAGTGATAATTATGAAATTATTTTAATTTTTCTTTTCTGTGATTTGAGTAATTTAATTTAGCTAGCATGTCTGTGTTGCTAATCTGAAATAAAATACGAGAAGTGGATGGAATTAGCAAGTGTTATTACAGATAATTACTCAGCTTTCTATCTAGAAAGGAAGTTGAGGCACATTCGTAAGTTGAGCTTTTTAAAAACAAACATTGAGGACCCTACAAGATTAAACTAAAAATAGTAAAATTATGCTCACTCACATGGATGTGTTCTCAAACAGAAGGGAAAGTCTGTTTTTCACTTGTTCTGCCTTCTTTGGTGGATTGGGGTGTTAAAAGATGAGTTGACTGAAGAGTAAAATTTAGCGTAAAACATTGAATACAGGAAAAGAGGGATTCTTAGTTGACATTCAGATCCATGAGGTGTGGATCATAGACTGTTTAAATTTGCTAATCTAAAAAAAAAAAAAAAAAAAATCAGGTCTTGTTTCTAGTTTTAGGGCTGAACCTACATATACTTAAAACTTCTGGTTTATCTTGAAGATCAATAAAGTAATATAAAAGTATTAATAAAACTCTTGTGATCACTGAATAACAGATTTACTAACTTTTTAGCTGATGCTCAGTGATAGTTTTTTAGATGTATTAAGGAAATTTAATTAAATCTACTAATCCATGATGACAAGAATAAAATAAACCCCTACAGATTATTTTCCTTCTTATCCTGACACCCCCTCACTCCCAAAATGTAGTTCAATATAATTGATGTTACCCACCCATCTGTCCTTCAGTGGAAGTTTCTGGTCTGAAACTGGCTATATTGGCTTTTACCCAATATTAATCTGTAATTTTTGGATGCAACTCTACAATTTCGAGACTGCCATGTGAGGAAAAACTCCTGATACAAGAGATTTAGGAATGTTTTGGATGTTCGGGTTTGCCTAGAAATGCCATTGAGGTGTTTATTGCTTCTCTAGGGCTGTTTCTGTGACTAACCCTGAATAATGCCTGGTTTTAGGTGGAGTGCTACGACTATGATAGTGATGGGTCTCATGACCTCATAGGAAGTTTTCAGACTACGATGTCAAAACTGAAGGAAGCTTCTCGGTCCTCACCTGTAAGTCTGGCATAGTCTGAACTGCCTGTGTGTGTTTGATGAGCTGTTTTACTCATTTTGGAGCAAATCTTACTTACTGTCGTGGTTTAACTCTGGCT